GGCTTTTCTTTTTTATCATAATGAAGCTTTTATGGATAGAATCAAGGCTGCTAGTAGATCCTTTCACGTGGAGGGTCTGCATTTTTAGTGAAGAAGATCGAATGCAGAAGGTACAAATTACCTTGTATGCTTTTACTAGTTAACTAAGCCGCTGGTGCTATGATATTATTTTTATATATGCCCATGCCCTTACTGAATTTTCAATATCTTATAAAGCAACTTCTCTCATTTCAATCACGATCATATATATATATATATTTATATTTACTGTTGCAGGCATCTGAATCATCGGATGCAACTACTTCTATCAGTAATTCAGAAGATAAGCCCCAAGCCATGCTTGTGCCTGATAAAGTAAAGGAAGAAGTTAAACTCTCAGAGGCAAAGGTTGAAATAAATCAGATTGTTACTTAGGTTATTAGTGGACCTTTTGTTTTTCATCCATTTTGGTTATTGATTAGTTTTCATGTATTCTCATGCAGATTGCTAATGATGATAAAAATAAGGAGAACATAGGGACTGTATGTTCTCAAGAAAATGGAAGGTTAGTTTCATAGGGTGTCTGAAAAAATAAAATTCAACACTAACCAAGTTCTGTATGGATACTTTGATTCTCATTATCGTGTCTTTGGTTCCTTTCCGTTGAATTTTCAGTTCCATAACTGAAAAATCACATTTAAATGTTCCCTGTGATGAAGAGAAAAGCAAATATACTGTGCAAGTACAAACTGAAGCTTGCACCCCTAAACCATTGATGGATTCTCCGAAGAAACTGTCGTGCGACAAGAAGCATCAGACAGCTAAAAAGATAGCCAGTGATATACGGAATCTGTCAGTGTTGAAGCCAAAGACCGGCAGTGCTGGAACTTCTAAGTTGGGTCTAGAAAACCAAGCCGTTAAACGTCAAAAACTAGATGGTGGAAGATCTAGACAGGTGCTTATATATTCCCTTCCCCTTTGCATGTTTTAACTACTGTCTTCTTGCAACTTTTAAGTTTTGTAATTTTGTTTTTTCCCTCTCTGAATCTCGGATTCTCAATGTGAAGCCCCACATATTGCCCCACAAGTCAAAACTTGGTCTTACAGGTGGGAGTTCCAACTTGAACTCCGAAGCTAAAACTTTTAGCAAATCAGAAAGAAAGGTTTGTTTTCAATGTGATAAGTTCCACCATCCCATATTCTCACAAACAATTGTTAACTAGTATTACTTTCAAAAAAAAAATTGTAAACTAGTATTGAAATTTGGTTTGTTTTTTCCTTGAAGGTGTACGTTCGAGAACAAGCAGCACCATTCATTTCAATGGCAGAAATGATGAACAAATTCCAATCATGTACCAGAGATTTGTCACTTCCTCACAGTTCTTTGTCAAATATAAATAAACAGAATCACATCATTTTGGCTCCAACATCTCCTTGTTTCCTTTTTTCTTTCACCAAATTCCTTCCAACTAATAGAGATAATGCTACAACTGTACAGTTGCCAACACTCAAATTGACAAGGCCTACTGCACCTGAATTTGAAACGGCACAGAGAGTGTGCCCAGTTACAGTGAAGAGCACTGCCGAGCTTGAGGAAGAAATGATGGCTAAAATTCCAAAGTTCAAAGCGAGACCGTTGAACAAGAAGGTCTAATGCTTATACCATCTGGTTTATGTGTATCAAATTGATATTTCTTTGTTCTTTACTGCTTAAGATTTTTCTCCAGTAAGTTTTCTTTGACTTGTTTTTCATATTCATCTCTGGTGCAGATTTTTTAAGCTTCACCTCTACCTTCAAAGCCTCCGGAATTTCAGGTAAACTAGGCTAAGTATATGAGTGGTGGTATGGATGAAAATGAAGACTGTTCTTAGTATCAGAATAAAATAATTGTCCTGTTTCAGGAATTTCATTTGGAGACAATGGCTAGAGCAAGTAAGAATGTGGAGATGTCTTTAGTAGCTTCAACAGAAGTGTCTCGCCAGGTTCAGAGAACTATATCCCATATATTTGATTCATTTTCGTTAGGAACCTTGAATAGCTCACTTACTTCTCTCTTTTTCCCTGCAACTGAATAATCAGTGGAAACCTCATCTCACAGAACCTAAATCCCCTGTGCTTTAAACATCTTTGAGGACAAAGCCTCCAAAGGCCAAAAGTTCTATTGAACTTGAGCGGGAGGAACTTGAAAAGGCACCTAAATTTAAAGCAAGGCCATTGAATAAAAAGGTACTTTCTCCAACATTTCTATTCTCCATTGTATAATACAGCAGCAGATAACCACCGTCCTTACATGAGAAAGTAACTCTAGTTGTTGCCTTGTGTAGATATTCTAGAGCAAAGGAGAACTGGGAAGCTACGGTAATGCAAAGAAACAGCTGACTATACCTGAAGAATTCCATTTTGCAACACATGAAAGGATACCACCACCTGTAGCAGTTTTTGATTTATTTGATAAGGTAATTATACTAGTGCACCAGCTAGTCATCATACAAATGGATTTTGAGAGAAACACTCTTTACATGTTTGTTCCTTTCACAACTTTCTCTGAATTAAGAATCTAGCCATGATCTCATTCCAAGAAACACCGTTCCGAATCCATTCCATCTCCACACAGAGGTAAAATTCCTTTTTTAATGGTATAATACCTGGAAAGATATATATAGAGTTCAGTATTTTATCGAGTCTTGAATGATCTTCAGGAAAGAGGCTCTAGAAAAGAACAGAAGTTCATGATGGAGATTATAGAGAAGCAGTTAGATGAGGAGAGAGCCAGGGTCCCCAAAGCTAACCCATATCCATACACCACCGACTATCCTGTGGTATGTTAAATTCTTTGTTCTTTCATTTTAATGAGTTGACCATGTGTTGCTGAGGGTTTAAACGTATGTTTTTCTTACTTAGATCCCTCCGAAACCCGAACCAAAGCAGTGTACGAAACCAGAACCCTTCCAATCGGAGAGTCTGGTGAGTCACGAAGAGGAGATGGAAGAAAGAAAGAAAAAGGAGAAAGAAGAATCTCAGATGAGGGTCTTCAAGGCTCAGCCGGTTCTAAAAGAGTAAGATTCATCCAATTTTTATCTTGGTTTTGGTAACGACACTTGAAGAGGACAATACATCCGGTTGTCAGTACGATGCAATCGTACCTTTCTTATATGCAGGGATCCCATTCTTGTTCCTGAAAAAGTTCGCAAGCCTCTAATACAAGTGCAAGAATTCGACCTCCAAGTCAATCATAGAGCAGTTGACAGAGCCGAATTCGATCAAAAATTAAATTTTAGTTTCTCACTCGTGGAAGATTTCCATTCAATCAGCACTCCTATAATGAATCTTTTTTTACAGATTAACGAGAAAGAAATGATTTACAAGAGATACAAAGAGGACGTCAAGGCTGCTCGAATGGTATGCACATTTCCTCTTTGTCCTAGACTTGTGAGAATTAAAACATGATGTTCCAAAACTCTATTGCCAGATTGAGGCAGAGAAAGAATTGAAGCAGCTAAGGAGGACAACGGTTCCCCATGCTAGGCCTGTTCCAAAGTTTGATCATCCTTTCTGCCCTCAAAAGTAAGAAAATTACTTGGCAATTAGTGTATCGTACCGTGTTCTTGTACGTCTATCGCAGTACTAGTGTGTTTGAGTTGATACATTAATGATTCACTCGGAGACGTTCGTATATTCGTGTGTTGATGGTGTATGATTTGGCCAGGTCTTCCAAGGAAACAACTAAACCGAAATCACCACATCTACCAGTTCTCGAAAGAATAGAAAGGAAGAAAACGATCAGTTCGCTGACACACCAACTTCCAGTCCGGCCACTCCTATGAGATGATTTCGGTTTCAGGTGATTTGAGTCAGGCAGTCACTGGTGGGGCTGTTCAAGGACTTTTGAACCCCCCCCCCCCTTGGGAAACAACTCGAGACCAACCACCGTTAACCGTGACTATGCATGTACACTTTTTGTTAAAAAGCAAAGAAATTAGACTCCAAATCATTCTTTTGTTGTAAATTCCTTTCATTTAGACACCAAAAAACGTATGTTCTTCTACTTGGAATGAAAATATATGCATTTGACCATTTAAACACATTTTATTTAAACACGAACATAAAAAGTGTCAGATTTATTTCTCGTCTCGTTCTTCGGGTTATATGCTTTGGACCCTTAGATCTCAAATTAATTCAAAATAAAAATTGGATTTTAAAAAACAATCTAAAAAGTAATTTAAAAGAATTTAAATCTGAATTAACTTGAAGTTTGGCGATTTCCTTAAAAAAGACGCATGTCTTTTCAGTCCCACGGTGTATCAAATAAAAAATAAATAAAATGAAAAAGGTAAAAATCATCATAGGTCCTTGTACTTTTAAAAAAATTAATGTGGCCATTGTATTATTTTTTCTCTCAATGTGACCCTCTAACTCAGAAAATAAATCCAATGTGACCATTTGACCAACGTTTTTTGTCGTTATTCGTTACAGTGCTGACGTGTCAGTTCATGATGATGATGTGGTGATTCATGCTGACGTGACAATTTATGGTGGTTGATAATATGGTGGATGACATGACAGATGAGTTAAATTGGTAACTCAAACATGACAATCTATCGTTGACCACCACGTCAGCACCGTAACAATCCACGATGGAAAATGTTGGTCAAAAGACCACATTAGATTTGTTTTCTAAGTTGAAGGGCCACATTGAGACAGAAAAATCATACGAGGGCCACATTGGTTTATTCCGAAAGTACAGGTACCTCTGATGCATTTTTGCCAAAGGAAAATGAAACTACAGCCTTTGGAGCGTGCGAAAGTAGCCGTTAGAAACACACCTCATTAGATTTTACATGTAACCAAATTGGTCACAGAACCCGACCGTTAGAACACCTTCCCCAAAATTCAAAAATAAAAAAATAATCGACCGTTGCTCGCTCTCCCATCTTTAATTTTTATTACTACCATAACAAATTCCCAACAATTCCATAATCGGAGACGGAAGAAAAATTCCTTTAACCCCCTCCCCGAACCTGATGGACGGATCAAGCATTACGACGGCAACGGTGATCGACGAGTTATATGAATTCTCGGCGCCGTGTTTCTTTGATTTCATCAGAGGAGAGTCCGAAGATGAAGCGCGCACTGCCGAGCTCTGGTTTGAAACCGCCTTGACCTACGCTCCTTCTCGTATGTTCTCTCTCCCCCGTATTTCTTTCTTTTGAATTATTCTTTATCTCTGTTACGGTATCGTTGAGCAGTGGTTCTTCATTTGTTTTTTGGATTTTTCAGAGTTTTGATTTAGGTATTAGTTACTTTCGATTTTAACTTGATTGATCTTTAATTGTCTGTAACTGAATTAATATTTGGAGAATTCTAGGGCTCGAGTTAGTTGCTTAGATCTGAATTTTAATTGTGATGTAATTTAAAAATAACCTTTTTTCTCAAGATATTTAGTTAAATGAATTATGCTTAACCGAATTAGGCTAGTTTTCAATGATATTAAAAATTATACTTAATAGAGTATAACTGTTGCATTGTTAATAAGGGAACAAGGTGGAGATTTTCATTTCATTCTTTTTTCAATCATAATGCAGCTTTTATGGATAGAATCAAGGCTGGTAGTAGATCCGTTCATGTGGAGAGTCTCTGCAATTTTAGTGAAGAAGATCAAATGCAGAAGGTTCGAATTACTTAAATATATACCCTTGCCAAATTTCATTATGTCATGCAGCAATTTCTCTCATTTCAATCATGATGAATATATATATATATATATATTATTGTTGCAGAATTCGGAATCATCGGATGCAACAGCTCCTAACAGTAACTTAGAAGATAAGATTCAAGACGAGCTAGTGCCTGGTAAAGTAAAGGATGAAGTTAAACCAGCTGAGGCAATGGTTGAATACAATCAAATGGTCACTGAGGTGATTAGTGGAATTTTTGTTTTTCATTCATTTTGGTTATTGATTAGTTTTCATCATGTATTCACATGATTTAAATGCTTTGCAGATTGTTAATGGTGATGATAAAGACAAGGAAAACATTGGGACTATGTGCGCTAAAGAAAATAGAAGGTTTGTTCTTAAGGGTTTGAACTTTGTTTCCAACATTAATTGAGTTAACGAATACTTTGATTCTCATTGTCATGTCTTTGGTTCCTTTCTATTGGATTTTCAGTGTCCTGAGTGAAAAAACGAATTTAAATGTTCCCGGTGATGAAGAGAAGAGCGAATCCTCTGTGCAAGTAGAAACTGAAGCTTGCACTCCTAAACCATTGATGGTTTCTCAGAAAAAACTGGTGAGCGATAAGAAGCATCAGACAGCTAAAAAGATAGCTAGTATGATAAGGAACCCGTCAGCGTTGAAGCCGAAAACCAGAAATGCTGGAACTCCTAATCTGGCTCTAGAAAACCAAGCCATTAAACGTCAGAAACTAGATGAAGGAAGATCTAGACAGGTGCTTATACGCTTCCTCCCCTTTGCATGTGTTATCTACTATTATTTGTAACTTTTATCTGAACGTTTGTCTATTTGTTTCTTCCCCCTGCACCTCAGATCCTAAATGTGAAACCCCATAACTTGCTCCACAAGTCAAAGCTTGGTCTTACCGGTGGTAGTTCCAACATGAGCTCTTCTACTGCTAAAACTGTTGGGAAATTGGATAGAAAGGTTTGTTTCTCTGTGCTAAGTTCCGTCTTGCATATTTTCACTAACAATTGTGAATCAATATTGAAACTTCGTTTGTGCTTTCCTTGAAGATTTATGTTCGAGAACAAGCAGCACCGCTTGTTTCAATGGCAGAAATGATGAAAAAGTTCCAATCATCTACCAGAGATTTGTCACTCCCTCACAGTTCATCATCAAATGTAAATAAACAGAATCGCTTCATTTTGGCTCCAACAAGGATTCGGTTCCTAGCACGTCCTTGTTTCCTTTATTCTTTCACTAAATTCCTTCTAACTAATCAGGATAATAATGCTGTCACTATCCAGATGCCACCGCTGAAATTGACAAGGCCTAAAGAGCCTGAATTCGAAACAGCACAGAGAATGCGCCCAGTTAGAGTGAAGAGCACTGCAGAGCTAGAGGAAGAAATGATGGCTAAAATTCCGAAGTTCAGAGCAAGACCATTGAACAAGAAGGTATTGCTTATATCTGGTTTATGTGTATCAAACTGATCCCTCTCTGTTCTTTACTGATCAAGATTTTTCTCCATTCTTTAATTTGTTGTCCAATTTTCTCTTCGATGCAGATTTTTGAAGCTCCACCACTACCCTCAATACCAAAAAGTACTCCAAAGCCTCCGGAATTTCAGGTAAACTAGGCCAAGTATATTAGTGATGGTATGAGATGGAAATGAAGACAAAACTTGGCATCAGACTAAAAAAATTGCCCTGTTTCAGGAATTTCATTTGGAGACAATGGCTAGAGCAACTAAGAATGCAGAGACCTCTTCAGTAGCTTCAACAGAAGTGTCCCGTCAGGTTCGGGGAATACCCGCCATATATTTGATTCACTTTTCATTTGGAACCTTGAATAGCTTGCCTTACCTTCTCTATCTTTTTCCCTGTAACAGAATAATCAATGGAAACCTCATCTCACAGAACCTAAAACCCCTGTGCTTCAAACTTCTCTGAGGGCAAGGCCTACAAAGGTCAAAAGTTCTATTGAACTCGAGCAAGAGGAACTTGAAAAAGCACCTAAATTTAAAGCAAGACCATTGAATAAAAAGGTACCCTTCTCCATCATGTCATGTCTGCATTACACAATATGGTAACCATCCCTTGTGAAAGTAACTCTAGTTGCCTTGTGTAGATTTTTGAGAGCAAAGGAGAATGGGGAATCTTCTGTAATGCAAAAAAACAGGTGACTATACCTCAAGAGTTCCATTTTGCAACACATGAGAGGATACCACCACAAGCATCAGTTTTTGATTTATTTGACGAGGTACTTGTACAAATGCACCAACTAGTTATATTACACAACTGATTCTTGAGTATATAAATTTTAAGAGAACATGTTTGTTCCTTTTACAGCTTTCTCTGAATTCAGAATCTGGCCATGATCCAATTCCAAGAAAAACCATTCCCAATCCATTCCATCTCCACACAGAGGTACATTTAATTTCTTATGTTCTTCATGAATGGTACAAGACCAGGAAAAGATATGTAGAGTTCAGTATTTTATCGAGTCGTAAATGTTCTGACTTCAGGAAAGAGGAGCTGAAAAAGAACAGAAGTTTGTGATGGAAGTTATAGAGAAGCAGTTTGAAGAGGAAAGAATCAGAGTCCCGAAGGCTAATCCATATCCATACACCACTGACTACCCTGTGGTATGTTAATTTAATGCTTTCATTTTAATGTTTATAGTCAAGCATGGGTTACTGATGGTTTTAATGTGGTGTTTTTTCTGATGCAGATTCCTCCGAAACCCGACCCGAAGCAATGTACAAAACCAGAACCCTTCCAATTGGAGAGTCTGGTGAGGCACGAGGAGGAGATGAAAAGAGAGATGGAAGAAAGAAAGAGAAAGGAGAAAGAAGAAGCTCTGATGAGGGTCTTCAAGGCTCAGCCGGTTCTAAAAGAGTAATTATTCATCCACAAGTGCAAGCATCATTTTATACCTTGTCGTTGTTGTCAGCTTGATGCTCTAACAATCCTTTCTCTTTTCTTGCAATCTTATGCAGGGATCCAATTCCAGTTCCAGAAAAAGCTCGCAAGCCCCTAACACAAGTGCAAGAATTTGACCTCCATGTCAATCATAGAGCAGTGGAGAGAGCAGAATTCGATCAAAAAGTAAATTCTAGTCCTTCTCTCTCACTTGTGAAGTGTATTATATTTCCATTCAATTAATGATTTTGTTTTTTGTTCTAACAGATTAAAGAGAAGGAAATGATTTACAAGAGATACAGAGAGGAGAGTGAGGCTGCTAGAATGGTATGCACATCTAGTCTTTGTCCTAAACTTGTGTTGTCAATTCGAGTTCTCGATTTAGCATGATGTTGAGAGTTAAAACATAATGTTATGGAACTCCATTGCCAGATCGAGGAAGAGAAGGCATTGAAGCAACTGAGAAGGACAATGGTTCCCCATGCTAGGCCTCTTCCCAAGTTCGATCATCCTTTCTGCCCTCAAAAGTAAGAACAAAATATGCTTTGGGATGTTAGTGTAAACCGTGATGTGTTCATGTCTTGATGGTGTATGGATTTGGTCAGGTCTTCCAAGGAGACAACAAAACCGAAACCGCCACGTCTACGAGTTCTCCAAAGAATCGAAAGGAAGAAAAGGTTCGGTTCGCTCAACGCTCCGACTTCCAGTCCGGCCACTCTTATGAGGTGATTCATGATTACGGTTTCTGGAAATACCATCCCGGGCAGGCAGCGCTGCCGCCACCACCCGAAGGGGTTGTTCAAGAACTTTTGAACCCCTTTGTGGAACAACTCAAGGCAGCTACCATTAACTGACATTTTTTTTTCAGATTCCATTTGTGTAACATGTACAATTTTTGAACTCATATTGTGGACATTGTATTTGCTAATTGGATTAGATATAAACATACCACAGTGTTGTATGATGCAAGATCTCATCATTTCTTCCGAGGCCAAATTTTGATCCAATGCGAAAAAATAAGATCCGAAGCTCGAATCTGAATTCGATATAACTTGATTTAATTATAAAAATCAAAAACTCGAATCTTTAGTTTAAATTTGTATTAACCTCAATAAAACTGATCTAAATATGAAAAGATATTTTATTCTTCTTATAAGTATCAGATTTTAACAATTAAATCTACAAGGTGTGATAGAGTAATAATCCAAATTTTTGTATCATGAAGGTTCTAGAATTTAATATTATTAAACGCCAAGTGGCAACGCACAGTTTAATGCGTTCAGGCCATCAAACACTCGGGTGGAGCTTAGCGGTGTTTAACGAGTTGAGTTGAATTGTTTAAACTCGACTCAATCAAAATTTGATAATTGGATAAAGTCTAACTCGACTCGATAAGTTCGCGAGTAATTCTTTAATTTTTCAAAATTATTTTTTAATAATTACTTTAAATTTATTTCATTGAAAAAAATAAATCTAAATAATAATTATTAATTTATTAATAAATAATAAATTAATTTTTAAAAAATATAAATTAACTAATCTATTAATTTTTTTAAAAATAATAAAATATTATTAATTGATCATATTTTTTAATACAAACAAAACAAACCTAGCCCAACCCAACCCAACCTTAATCCTAATTAACGCTTCAGTTCAGTCTTCACCCCTCTCCTGCGCCTCCTCACACTTTTTCTTATCTTTCATCGTTGAAATTTCAAATCTAGAAATCACAAAGCATTGAATCTCAGTTTTATCCCTAATTTGACAGCGATGACAGGTTAGTTTACCTATCTCGTCATTCTTCTTATTTTATTTAAATAGTTTAATTTAATGTTCAATAATGTCGTAATCCATGAAAGGTAGGAATTTTAAAAAGAAACGGCAATGACTTATGGAAGAAAATGGAAAAAGAAAACACTCGAAAACCGACTTTCGGCGGCGGTTCTGAGACACGGGTCAATGGGGTTGGGTGCTAGGAAAAATTATTTTATATTATTTAATAATTTTATAAAGGGAAAAATTATTTTATTTGTATCTTGAGGATGGATAAGTGGATAAGTAAAGATAAAGGTGACCACTTTGAACCTATAAGTTGGTGGAAGGATCAATCTTTGAAGTTTTATATTTTGTCAAGATTGGCTATTGATGTCTTAGCAATTCCGATAGTAACTGTAGATTTTGAGGCTACATTTAGTGTTGAGAGCCGCGTGATTGAGTCTTATAGGACTTCATTATCTCTATATACGTGTAAATATTTTTTTGTAGTGGAGATTGGTGTCGAACTCTCTATGGAGTGAAGAGAAAGAATGAAATAAGACTATTTAAGATTAAGCTTATTAATTGATTAAGAATACTTTTAATATGTTAGTTTGATGTATTTGTAGATTGTTAATGTAGATTTAATATGTTAGTTTGGTGACTTTGTGGATTTAGTTTGGTGAATTTGTAGATTGTTACATTAGTTCTAATATGTTAGTTTAGTGTATTTGTGGATTGTTAATTTAAAATTTAGACTGTGAGAGTGCTTTATACACTCTTTTGATTTTTTTTTGTTAAATTTGTTAATTTATATTAATATTAAGCTTCATATGGTATTATTAAATTTATTTTTAGTTAAAAAATAAAGTAATTTTTTAGTGAGTTTAACGAGCAACGAGTCGAGTTTAATAAACAACGAGTCGAGTCGAGTCGAACATCAATTTTTTTTAACGAGTACGAGTTGAGCTGAGCATCAATTTTTTTTAATGAGCACGAGTCGAGCACAATTTTAATAAGCTTAACGAGCAAACAAATTCAGTCAAACAATAAAATATTTTATCGAACACAAGTCAAACACTTATTAAATTGCAATTAACTCGCTTGATAAACATCTCTCCGCCTTCTAAAATTTCGTACCCATTACTTACACAGTGCCTAAATTATTGTACCAAATTTTAGTTTTTTTATTCAAATTAAATCCTTCTAGAGAAAATCACTAGTTGAATTCAACTTCGCCTCTTGTTTCATTTTATATGAATATTAAATCATTATTGTATGTATTTTTGTTATCTCGAGTTTTAAAGTTTTGTTCTGATTAATTTGAACCGATCTCATCGCACACCTGATTTTGATGGGTGAGTCTCCAAATGAGGATTTTTTGTATACATAATGATTCAAACCCGAAATCTTGCCTGAGTAATATCAAACTACTTACCATTTGAATAATACCTTTTAGTATTATGGTATATTATTTTAACGTAATTTAAATATTGATTTATCAATCTGATATAACTTTAAATTTATTTTAAATTATTTTAAAAAACTAACGTTAAAGAAGATATAGTTTTTATATTTTAGCTCTATGTAATAAAACATACATTTATCATTGATTTCTTAATAAATCAATTAAAGAAAAGCAATTGTTACTTCATGATAATGAGTATATTCTCTTTAAAAAAAAATTAGATTCGAACAACTACTTTTATATAATATGTATACATTACCAATAAATTATAATCATCTCAAATTTAAAAAATAAATAAATAAATTAACCCAATGGAAACTTATGTTTGTTTTGTTTTGATTGTCATTTTATTATTTGATCATAATATTAAAATTTTTCTATGTTTTTAACCATCATTGAGACGTTGACATAATTTTTCATTATGGGCCACTGATTAGTAAACTAGTGGAAAATATCAAAAACAAATTGATTAAGTGAATAGTTTATGCCACTTGTCAATATAATGTTCATTAATTTATTGGAATTTGGAAAAGTCTTTAAGTCATCTTTTATTGAAAGGTGACAATATATTATATTAAAGAATATATTATTGTAATATAATAAACTTTTAATATTAAAATGTGTCATTATATTATATTATATTAAATTAAAGAATAGTTGTATATTCTTTATCAAAATATTTTGATATTCTTTAAGTCGTGGATGCTGAATTATGGGGAATGTATTTGGGTCTATGTATAGCAATGGATTGGAATATCCGTCAACTTATTGCTGAAAGCGATAATAAGGAACTTATAGAGATGCTTCAAAGGGGTCGAATAGAGCCTCATTCAAATTAAATTCTTGGGTCTCTGACGAAGTCGATATTCATTAGATCGCGTTTCTTCAATAGGGGTTTTGATTTAGTTTAAATGGTTGCAGGTGTTGGTTTTCTTTTGTGTTATGTTCTTTTGCGTTGTTTTTTATTATTTTACTGGAGGTGTAACTTAGAAATAGGATGATTGTCGATGGCATTTTTTTATTGAGAATGTGAGAGTTTTAGGTGTTTCTGATTTGTTGTGATGACGTATTTCACCATATGAGGATATTCCGTATTTTCATATGTATTGGGTATCATTATTAATAAACTATGAGGTACTATTTTTTCCTTCCAATTTTCGTTGACATATTTCTTTGTATGTGGACGAATATGAATAGAGTTTTTAATGAGACCTCCAATTTCTATAATAATAAAAAAATTCTAATAAGGGGTGCTGTTCGCCGATGCTGGCGCACGTTCAAGCGTTGTGCACGCGTGATTGGCAGCTGGATTTTCATTTTGCACCACGGGAAGCGAACAGGACCGCGGCTGAACTAGCACGTATGGCTTGGACGAATGACAGGGACTTTGTTCTCTATGAAGATATACCGGAGGCTGTATGGAGTATTTGTTGAGGTGGAATAGTTGTGATATTGGCTCTAGGCCAGCTTTGTATTCAAAAAAAAAAGAAAGAAAGATAATATATTAAATTTATTTAATAATATCAATAATAAAAAAATATTGTATTCTAGAGAATTCGGATTTGAATAATTGTATATATAGAGTGTGTACTATTAATGACTAAGAAATATTCTTAACAAAAATTTCTTAATATGATTAAATTTTATGTATAAAAGTTATATAAATATATGCCAAATTAAGGGTAAATGGTCTTTTCCTTCTTTTGAAAATGCATCAACTGGGGGAAGGCATAGACAAAGGAAAGTTCCCAGTCAAAATTTTGACTGATTAATCTGTTCTTAATAAAAACAAATGAAAAACACACTTAAATTTCTTCTAGAGAAGTAAAAAGAGAAGCGATGTTGAAAAGTATTTGAGTTTTAATAATAATAATAATTACAAAAATAAAGTTTATAACTTTTTAAAATTGTTATTTGGTAAAGTACACAAATGGTCCCCGACTATAGAATACTATTTTGTTAAGTCCATCGACTATTAAAAGTTATAAAATGGTTATCTAATTATAGAGTGTTGCTCTGTTGAGTCACTCGTCGTATTAAAAGTTACAAAATGATCATCAGACTATTCACTATGCACCAAACTCGTCATTTTCCGTTAAAAATAGATATTATTCTGAGCTGAACGTTAACCTATTGACTGTGATATAATAAAATATGATCTCAAAATCTCAAACGACTATATATGTCAGTCATCATGTTAACGCCCATCTTAAACAACCGTCAATTTTTAACGGAAAATGACGAATTTGGAACATAATGAATAGTCAGATGACTATTTTGTAACTTTTAATAGTTAAACGACTTAATAAAATAATATTATATAGTCAGAAGATTATTTTATAACTTTTAATAATCAATGTACTTAATAAAGTAATATCCTATAGTCGGGATTATTTTTTTACTTTATCCTTAATTAAACTTAAAAAATTATTAATTTAATATTTTAAAAGAGAACCGATGTTGAAAAGTATTTGTAGGATTTTAGGTCTCAAATTCTATCGAGGACATATGGCAAGATGTTATGATTGAGAGTGTTTTAGATTACTTGAAAAGACAAATTTACCACTAAAATTAAATAACTTGTGCTTAGTGGGATTTAATCTAGACCCAAGTCTATGGTATTTATGAAATGGGTAAACCACCTTAGATATCATCGAACTCTAAACTTTATATTATTTATATC